GATCCACCAGGAGTGGGTGGGAGAAAGGAGGGGGATGGTTAATTTCTCCTTGTTTTAAGATCCAAGGGGTTTGGATCTGTATTCACCAGGGAATTGGTGAAGGTCTCTCAAGGCTACCCAGGGAAGGGAATTAGCTTTGGGATGGTGGCAGCGGGCCAGATCTAAGCTGGTAGTTAAGCTTAGAAGTTTTCATGCAGGCCCCCACATTTGTACCCTAAAGTTCAAAGTGGGGAAGCAGCCTTGACAGCCTGTATTCAATCTCTGAGGGCCATGTCATGTGTTCACTCAGTGCACACATATGCCACCTGTCCACAAGGCAGGTAATCATCCATGCTGCATCCAGTGCAATAAACTGGATATCCCCCACTCTGCTGCTGGACCTATGCCTGCATTATAGTTACTCCTGCAGCTTCCCCTCTCCCCCCCTCCGATGGGAGTGTGTTTATTGGCCTAAGTTTAGAGAATGTTAATCAGGTGCATCTGGCTCTATTGTTCCCTCTCTAAACTCCCTCACAAAACTCCAGTTAGCTGCTCCTGTTCACTAGCTTCTCTGGTCTCTATGGAACCGGCTTTTTAAAACAGTTAACCAGGAGGCGGGGCTACTCAAGGGCTTAGGGATCAAAGCCTCCTTAAAAAGCCCTCAGCCCTGCAATCCAACAGCAAGTGGCAAAGGAACGTAAGCTATTGGCCTAATGTCTTATCTAATTGAAAGCTATTATCACCCTGTTGCTGCTGCTGTTAAACAAAAGTACACCATCACTGGTAAACTGAAAAATAATTGTGTCCTAGCCTTGAAACGGTGAAGATGAGTTTGGATTTTGGGAATGGGTTAATTCGTTGGTGGGAGACAAATGAGTTGACACCGATTCACGATGGTCTTTCCTACTCTATTTTTATTTATAATATGCGCATAGGAGTTCATCTTATTGCCTTTGACAAAAAATGGATTAACAGCAAAAACAGCAGCAAAGCTCACAGCCCTCTTCAGAATGCAGTAAAGACAACTCTGTGTTCCAAATCTCCAGCCAAATGATGCTTTTGTCTGCTGTTTCCAACTGTTGTGTGTATATCCCACTGCAAACACTTTAAATCCCTATTGTACCAACACGTGTTTGGCCAGTCACTCAAAAAACACTTCACCTGGCTGGAGTGTGGGGAAGTGGGTCTGTTATCACATCCCCATCTCTGTACCAATCACTAATCCATCTCCACTTGTCCTTCCTAACAAAGATGGAGCCATTTTAATCCATAATGTTTTAAAACAACTCCTTCCAGTGAGACAGGTTAGCAACTGCGGTCTACAGTTCTTATTCATGAGCACTCAGTACAGTTGTAAAGACTGATTAGTGAAGGCAATATTAAATAGCCTATTTTCATTTCTTTCCCATTTGGTGATAATAAGAAGATCCACCATTTCTGTAGGTTCAAATTGTTTTCCCCATGTTGTGCTCCCTCTGCTGGTCTGCTGCAAGTTAACTAAACACATTCTGGGAACTATTCTCCAGGGATGTTCTCTATGTAGATGGAGCACAAAGTAGTAAATAAATTCAGGGGTTACAAGCACCATATGTCAAAGAGTCATCACTGTTTGGTTAAGAAGAAAGGAGGAAATGGATAGGAAAATAAATTGCTTCTCTGAACTTCTAAGAGGGTTCTGCAAACAACAGGCAGTTAAAAACATCTAATGTGATTTCACAGATTCTTCTGTGCAGCAAGGTCATAAGGAAGGCCAGGGGAAGAAGGATGAAGAAAGGAGATCCTTCTACCTTTTTGAGCTAGGTCATCTTTCCTCCCATTACATTCCCTTCTCTCTCCAGCTTCCCCTCCCAGCTTGCTCTCTAACTCATCCTACTTGCATCTCCAACCTTGAGCAGGGAGGAATTTTGCATGAGACCCCTGTCAATTTCACCTCTGCAGTGCCCCTGTCCCAAATACAAACCAAAAAAAACAACCTCCCCTCCCCTGTGTATCCTTTCCCACCCTATCAAAACCTCATGGTGAGTCCACACCTCATCACCAGTTTGGTTTGCTTTCTTATTTTCAGATATCATCTGCCTTTATCGCTATTAGTTCACACTCCCAACATTTTATATGGGTTTGTAAAGTTTAGTTTTAGAAGCCCGAAGGCTTCCTTCACTTCCCTTGGGAGACTAGCCCGTAGCCTAATATGTCTCACTGTCTGTCAGGATGTTTTTCTTATAAGCTGCCCTCTTTCAGTTTCATCCTGTTGCTTCATGCAGTATCCAAAATAAATTCCTATCCCTCCTTGCTGTTTGTGGCTTCCAAATATCCATAGGTTGCTCTGACTAAATGTAATATCCTAATTATGGGTGTGGTCACAACAGAGCTGGGGAGAGAGGGATATGCCTGTGTGCATATATGTAGCCCAAAGTTGCAATGGCCTTTTTTGTGTCACACTGCTGTGCAAAAAATCACATGCAATCTACCATCCAATACCATCACTACATATCTTGCAACTTTACTGCTTTTCAGGTTTGTGCCTCATTCAGTATCTGTTCATCCAGATTATTTTCCACCAAAAATATGTTTCCACATGTTACTTTTCAGGCTACGCTTCTAATTTCTATTCATCCCTTCTCTGGCCCCCCATTAATATCTGCAACTCTTTCCACTTACCAAAGTTTGGGAGGGTTATTTAAATTATGATCTGGGGAAAACAGACGAGTAGTGAGGAACAATCAGGTCTAACTAAGAGTTGAACAAAGGCAACTATCTGGTAGTGAAAAACTATACCTGGTGCTGCAATGTCCATGCCGCTATTTTTAGTGCATTAAGTTTGAGCAGACCTAGCACAAGTCGGTCTACCCAGGCTGGGAGGCATACTCTGAGCTCTAGTAAGACATACTCTTAATACCTAGATAGCAATTTGCAAAGTTTACAGACAAGAACAGGGCAAGTATAATGCAAGACAATGACAAAGAACCATGACATAACAGGTCTAGACTGAAACATGGTGGGAAGATGGAAGTCAGTGAGACAGCTAGGTTGGAAGGTGCCTGGATTTCTCCTCAGATTCCCTGGTACTGATGTGACGTTAGTCTCCCTTCAGCGCAACAGACCCTTGCTTCATCCAAAGCATTTAAGTACGCCTACCGACTGTTCCTCCGTTTTTGTTGCCACTTCTAATAATTATGCTATGGATTCTGCCTAAGTATTAGAGTTATCAATTTTCAAAATGAGTCATCTATTCTAGTGCAATCCAGTTTCCTTTAGTATTTCGTCTTCCTTTCATGAAAGCTATCTGCCTGTTTGTGGCATCTGGTCCTGATGTGCCTTTGAGAAGCCTGAATTACCTCTGATTACCACTAGTGAGTCAGTGCTGCTAAAAGGCTAAACACAATCAAGAAATGCTTCCTTTCTAGTTCCTACTTTCTCGTGTTGCATAAGGACACAGTCCAATATCTTAAACTGTGTCAAAAGACAGTTCTATATTCTCATGCTGGCTGCTATAGAAAATCCCAAGTATGTGAGATAGCAAGATTAGATTAGATAGGATAGTTAAGATTACTGTCCAACATAAATAATTTATTAAATCACAAAACAGAATAGGAATCATACAGTAGTGTTACAATCCAACAATTTATGCCTCATAAAAATCAATCTGCAAGTTGCTATATTATGAATGGTCATGGCTGTGGCTAAGCAACTCTATTCCAAACCTATGACAATGACATTTCGCCTAAGAGGAGTACAAGATACCTGGCCATCCTTCCCTTTCCTGTTTTTAAGTTCCCATTTTCTAGACAAGAGCTCAAACATCAAATGCTAGTTTAAAAAGTGTTTTGAACACCTGTGTTGGTTTCCCCCAAATTCCAAGTCATACTACTTACTTGTTGGTTTGCCTTTGGTGTTGTATGACCATGTTTTTCTCATGGATAGTCTCCAGCAAGGCAGTAGCCAAAGATTTGAGATCTGAAATGGACTGCGGCGTGGCGGGTAGGCTACAACCATGGTCCTCCGATAACAACTCTTGGACTAAAATGTTAAAACAAAAATGAGTCTTACCTTTATGCGGACAGAAATGTGACACAAGTAGTGAGTCAGACTTACAAAGCAAATCTACCTTTGTTTCATTACTTAGCTGAAAGTAGATTTATTCCAACCAACCAGCAAAACAAACCCAGACATATAATACTCAGTCATAAAAAATGGTGGCTGTTTGAGCTGATCACTGTCCCGTAGCAATTGCCAGCACAAACATAGGTAGACCCATTTTCTGCTTAGCTAATATTTCTTTTGGAAAGAACAGATTTCTATTCAGTTGGAAAGAGCCTCATTTTTCTATCCTATGATCTCCTGCCACTGGCAGGAGAGGAATATTTTTCTTCAGTCCACCTGAAAAAACCATGCCCACAAAGAAGGTTTCATGTTTAGAAATATTGATTTCCTAAGGTTGTTTGAGATTGATGTGACACAATCAATGTGTGTCACACATCAGCCTATAAGAAACTTCCTCTGCAATAAGAAAGCCTGTGGACTCATTAACCTTGCTCAGCAAGTCCACTAGCATGATCACATTTGGTCATCTGCTGTGGCTAGAAACTATACAAATGTATAGCGAAGAAGACATTAACCAAGGGTGGCCACCTGTGGCTCTTCAGAAGTTAATATGCGGCTCCGTGCATAGGCACCAACTCTGGGGCTGAAGCTATAGGCGCCAACTTTCCAGTGTGCTACAGGGTGCTCACTGCTCAACCCCTGGCTGTGCCCCAGATCCTGGCCCCACTCCACTCCTTCCCCCAAGGCCCCGGCCCAGTAGTGTAGCTGGTGGGGGGAGCAGCCACTCCCCCACTGAGCACAAGTGGCGCCTTGTCAATTTCTTGGCGCCTTTTTAATTTTTACTCACCTGACGGTGCTCCGGGTCTCCGGTGGCACTTTGACAGCAGGCCCTCACTCGCTCCGGGTGTCTTCGACAGCACTGAAGGACCCACCGCCGAAATGCTGCCGAAGACCTGTGGAGCGACTGAAGATCCCGCCGCTGAGGTGCCGCCGAAGTCCCGGAGCGCCACTGGGTGAGTAAAAGCACCGCCCCGTCAGTAAAAGCACCGCAGCGGGTGACGCCTTTATTTTATTTATTTATTTTTTTTATTGCTCTCCATGTTCCCTCCACCTGGCTACGCCACTGCCCCCACCCCTTCCCAGAGTCTGCCGCGCCCTTGCGCCTCCTCCTCTCCCTCCCGAGCCTCCTGCACACCACAAAACAGCTGATCGCGGCGGGCGGGAGGTGCGCGCTGGGATGGAGGGTTAGGTGCTGATCAGCGGTGCTGCTGGCGGGTGGGAGACACTTGGGGCGGGAGCTGACGGGGGGCTGCTGATGTGTTCCTGTGGCTCTTTGGCAATGCACATTGGTAAATTCTGGCTCCTCCTCAGGCTCAGGTTGGCCACCACTGACATAAACGGAGCAGTCAATGCTGACGAACTTCTTGAGTTTCAACCTGTCATGACAAGTACTGCTAGTTTGGTATGTGCCTGTGTGCATGGAAAGAGAGTGAGGATCACTGTGCAGGAGACAAGATTTCCACGGGGAAAATCTTATCCTATCCTCATCTTTTCTGATCCTTCGCCTCTGTTCAGGGTGTGTGTGGGGGAAAACATATGGGATGAGGGGATTGCTCTGTTGGTCTCTTCCTGAAGGAAACCATAGAACTCCTCCTGCAAGGGAGAAGCAAGCCACAGTAGCCCCCAAGTGCAGGAGTGGAACTTGGACTTAACAGGCCCCCACCTTCCTTAACTTGCCTTCTCTGTATTACTGCTGAAATAGAGCATCAAGGTTGGCATTGTTAGCAGAGAAAAGAGATGACACAAGAAAAGACTGATCTGGGTCAGAGTTATACTGGGCCTTGAAGGAAAGGAGAAGAACTTTAAGCTTGATGTAAAGCTGAAAAGGTGGAAGCAAAGGAAGGGAATTTATGGGGTCAGACTGACAGGAAAAGGAGATTGGCTGGCAGGTTAAAAGATGATTAGGAAGAAAGTGATGTGAGAAAAACTTCAAAGTTCACACTGAAGAAAGAATGAGGTACTGTACCACCACGTTCCATCTATGCAGTACCTTGCTTTGCAGAAAGGACTCCAGTCAGTGCACTGCTGCTGGATCTACTGTGAATCTTTGAATTTTTCCGTCTCTCTAGAGCATTCTAAGAAAACAAACACATTTTTTTCCAGACATTAGCCTAAGCATTTTCATTAGGTAAGGGATCTGAGGGAGGGGATATTAATCCTCGAGTTTCTCTTCTAGGGCATGAGTCTATCCCTACACTGCTGGTTGGATGAGGGGGGCTCCTTCTGGAGTATTGGATATACTAGCCAAGAGAGCCTTTGGGACCCTAACGAATCTATGCACTTCATCACCATCCCCCTTTACTGTTCTTTCTATTTCCTCCTCCACTATCACCCCCCCCCCCCCACACTTCGGGTTTTTAAAACTTTCCTATTTCTGGAAACAGTTGAATACATTTGTAAAAGCCGTAACAGTCCATGGGGAATAGCAGTCTGGGATAAAATTCTGACTTTCCAGAAAATTTCTCTTGGACATGCTTAAAAGAAGGGAAAAAAAAAAAAAGAAGCACTAAAACTCTCTTTAAGGTCCTTTCAGCAGAAAATGCTGGCTTTTAGGAAGAGTTCAAAGCAAAATCATGATTCTTACTAAAGCTGAGCCCTAGATAGTCCCAAAGAACTGTCCTTCAGAAATCAGATACACACACAGCACCTGCTTTGTGGCCTCAGTTTCTCAGGTCTATGCCTGGAATGGGGGTGGCAGTGCTTTGGAGGAATTTTGCACTTCACTAGAATGGCAGGGAATGCTGTGACTGCTTAACAGTGATTAACGAATTAAGAAGCATCACCAATAGGCTTAAAGTCTCATGCAGAAGGATGGAGGACGTGTTTTTTGATTGAAGTTGGAGCAGAGGGTTAGAGGAAGAATGGTCAGGCATCTAAATTTATTGTGCAATAGAGTGCATACAGCTTATCCTCAAAGTGGAGGTATAAGGAAGATATATCAATCATTAAAATTTGCCAAACAATAGTACTGATGTTGAGAAATATGGAGATAAAAGAACAGCTGCATGATAATAAATGTCCTAACACTTTGTAGAAAACACAAGAGCATTAATTTTCTACCACCAATAATCCTCCATTTAGCAACAATCTGGAACAATGTCACATTCTAACCCCAACTAGGAGCAATTTTTCCTAGATCTTGAGAGAACACCTTCACTTTCTAGATATTTCTAACAGCTATTTCTTTATGCTATATAACAGCTGAGAAGTCTATAGGGAAGACTGGGGATGTAAACAAAATACATAAAGGTACTAAAATTATCTAGTTGTCTTAAACTACAGTTAAAAGGAAGTGGTAATTGCACATGGAATTTTAACTTCTAAGGTGCTACAGACAAACAATTTTACACTTAAAATGTGTATAAACAAATGAAAAAAATTAAACTCTATAAATAGAGGAGCGCAGCATAATGAGAACTCTACCTTGTACTTAGAAATATTAGATTTAAGAAGGTTGACCTCCTCTTGAAGTTGCTTTAATCTCTCTTGAAGGTATCTGGAAAATACGTAATATATATCATTAGACTCCTGTATATTGTTTGTTTGTTATTTATTAAACACTGGCAATGTGTTAGTCATTGCGCAGCACAAGGCACAAACAGAGCCACTGGCAGGATGTTTCACATGAGGGGGCTTCTACAGTTATGTCTTCACTGGAGAATTCACCTAGCACGGGTGGAGCATCCCCACTGCAAAGCCCTACCCACGCCAGACATATGCATTCACATATGATGCTGCATTAGCCTATGTGCTGGGATGGATTGCTGGTGGGATATCCCATGGTTCTTTGTGGTACATTATACTGGTTTGCAGGATTCTCACACGCTCTGACTTAGCATGAAATTGTCATCTCTGGCAGTGCCATGAGAACAATACTTTTATGTTCTGAACTTCCAAATGGAGACATCTGTTGAAATGCTGTGCAGCCAGGCTGGATTACCCTACATTCGCACTGTGAAGTTGACAGGTTGCCAGCCCAGGCTGAAGCAACACCAAAGTTCAAGACTATACCCTCAGATGTGTCTACTAGTCTGGGCTCAATCACAGATTAGGGGCAACATCTGGGCTAGAGCCTGAGCTAATTCTTCAGTGAAGACATACTTGACTTCAGAAGTCATTTCCCCACCTTTGGCCTCTTAAGACTGGATGTGTATACTGTAAAACCTCAGAGTTACAAACACCAGAGTTACGAAGTGACCAGTCAACTACACACCTCATTTGGAACCGGAAGTATGCAATCAGAGAAAAAGGGGAAAAAAAGCAAATACAGTACAGTACTGTGTTAAAGGTAACCTACTAACAAAAATAAATAAAAGGAAAGCATCATTTTTGTTCTGCATAGTAAAGTGTCAAAGCTGTATTAAGTCAATGTTCAGTTGTAAACTTTTGAAAGAACAACCATAACATTTTGTTCAGAGTTATGAACATTTCAGAGAACAACCTCCCTTCCGGAAGTGTTTGTAACTCTGAAATTCTAGGTAATTAAATGTTATGGACATACTGCAAAGCCCATTTTTAGTCTCTAGGCTCTTGGGTAGGGGGATTGGATGGGTCAGTTTTTCTTGTATTATCAGTAGATATTCACTTGTGCCCTCTGTATTTTAACCTTAGAGAACAGGTACCTATAAGATATATATAAATTTAAATAAAGGGCTTGTCTGTACACTGTTTTTATATTGGTTTAGCTAGATCGGTTTTAAACTGGTATAGTTAAAATAACACAATCAAGTGTGGATGCAGTTATACTGGTATAAGTACACTCATACCAGCTGGCTCTCACCATAGGGTAAGGAGAACACACTGTACCAGTATAACACCTTTATACTGGTATAATTGCATCCATACTACAGTTTGGACCAATTTATTATTTTGGATAAAAGAAAAATCACATCCATAACTAACAGTTAAATTGGTACCAAAAAACCCAAAACAACAACAAAAAAAACCCTGTTTAGACCAGGCCAAATAAAAAGGAAGTGAATCCAGAGTTGCTAGGGATGAGGGAGTACCTGTCGCACTTATGCACCTCAGGGCTTGTCTACACTAGAAACGCTGCACCTCTGTAGCACTTCAGTGTAGACACTTCCCACGTCAATGGGCGGGGTTCACCTGTTGCTGTAGTTAATCCACCTCCCCAAGAGGCAGTAGCTGTCTACACTGGGGGTTAGATGAGCTTAAAGCAGGTTACTCATGAGTGTGAATTTTTCACACCCTGGAGCAACATAGCCGGGTTGACCTAATTTTTTAGTGTAGACCAGGCCTGAGCCTCTTCAGGGCCCTCTCTTCTAATATCCTAGGAGAGAGCCCAGATCATATTGTAACTGCACTTCCCCTTTCCAAAGCAGCGACAGAGAATTAATGGACTTGTCTACAAGGGCAAATTTACCAGCATAACTATATTGGCAAATTTCCCCATAAAAAGACAAACCCTTTCTGTGGTCAAAGCTGGATCCATAACCATGTATCCATGTGCTCAGGCCACACATTTACAAGCTCAAGATTCTGTTCGGTCTCAGTATTCACTGCAGGATGTCTGAAGGGTACAAATATGGCTACTTCTGACGTTGCCTGTGATTCTGTGCAATAAATTGACAAAGAAAATGAACCATTCCCTCCTTCCTCATCCCCACACACTGCAAAGCATCGCTCCCATCATTTCAGCCAAGCAAAACCCAAATAAGCTGCCTGCCATTATGAATTACGACTGCTAGTTCATGATTTAGATGGAATAAAAACAAATGTGAAACCGAACAAATACAAAGCACAACACTTAAGAGTCCAAATCTGTCAGTTTACATTCTTTGAAATATGTTCTTTAAAGCTGTGGTTTGGCTGAGCTCCTGATGCAATCACCAATTTGCTGCCTGTGACACAGAGGCTAATTGGTGCTAATGGGCAAAGGGTTCACCGTTCTTTACAAGCAACTCCTTTCTCCGACCTGAGAAACTCACAACACCTAACACACCACTTGCATGGTGTTTATTCATGAAGTGTAGCATGTGATATAGTGATTCCATATATCACATGGTGGAGAAAGACACTCTGCAACCATTCACTGAGCAGAGGGGGTATTTCATGAAAGATTGGATCCTGGTTTCTAGGAAACCAGCCAGCTTTGCAACAGTACATGGGGGGAGGAGGGGAGAACCCACTTTATTAGATAAGGAAGGGAACTACTAATAAGCATAGGCCCCCTAGCTCAAGTTTTACGATTTTGTTTTGTATTGTGACCATTTGCTTCCATCACTCGTTTCTAGTGAAATCTCTATTCTTTCTTAAATAAACCTTGTTTTATTATAAGTGCTCACAAGTGCTGTGCATTACACAGGAGCAGCGATTTAAGATAAAACTGAAATTGAGTACACTACTCCTTGGGGAATGGATGATCTGGGATTTCTGCGAGTAGCCAGTGTCGGGGCTGGATATCACAGGGGAATGCTCCAAGGGGTCTGGGGTGCCCCTCTTGTTAACCTGCAAGGCAAAGGCACAGCTGGCACAACTCAAGGAGAGTGCTTTAGTGGCTGACAGGCTGGGGGTGTTAAGGAGCTAATACCCAGCTACCTCAGACAAGGCTACCTCTCGCTAGAGGCAGTGGGTAACGAGGTGACTCAGTCCTAGTACCATGTGAACCAACACACTGTACATGCAGGAGAAGCACTGCAGACTTCCTA